GTAGGAGAGGTGGGGGCGATGATGTGGGGGCATTGTGACAGTGGAGGGGGGGAATATGTGTTCAGTTCATGGAATGGTTGGCAAAGCACAGCTGAGTAGGAGAGGTGGGGGCGATGATGTGGGGGCATTGTGACAGTGGAGGGGGGAATATGTGTTCAGTTCATGGAATGGTTGGCAAAGCACAGCTGAGTCTCAGATGTGTATTTCCTTGTCGTGGGAGACGGTACTTCCGGGAGATTAGCATCCTATGTCCTTCAAGCCCATCCCAAAGCCTGGTCACTTGGCACGAATTGCAGAACTTACACATCACCACCAGGTGGCACCACAAGTAATGCTCCATTCACAAAACCCACCTCTTTTATGAATGACTTGGGGAACCAAGACTGGGCAGATCTTTTCCAGCCAGAGATGGTCATGCCTCCTGTTCCCCACAGGGCTGTCTTCATTTTCTGGCATACAGTGATTTTAACAACTCTCTTTTGCAATAAAAAGTCGGATGATTATACTAATGGTACTTTTACATTTCCATACCTTTTCCTTGTTTTAAATGCATCTTTAACATGCAATTATCTACATCATATCCTCACATCTATCTTGTGAGGTAGATGCATCAATTGAACATTGTGACACTACAGGACTTTTCTGCGTGCCAAGAGGGATCGTTTAACTGAGCATATCTTATACCCAAGGTTGTGGGATGGAAGAGACCAGGCAAGCACACAACTACAGCATAAAGCAGAATGGGGATGGAACTGCAAACAGGCCTTTTCCCAGGATCAGAGGAGAGCAAGCTCTTCTGCCTGGAAAGTCAGGGAAGGCTTCCTGGAGGAAATGACATTTGAAGCAAATATACATAGAAGGTACTAGGTGGAGAGGCCATGCTAAGAAGGCATTTCAGGCCATGAGGACTGCCTAGAGGGAGTCTAGGCAAAAGGAGAGTGTGTTCAAGAAAGAGAGGGTGACCCCATCCTACTGGTGACTAGAATGTATATATGGAAGGTCACTCTTTTCCGCCATCTCCTGCAGCTACCCCACCAGCTCAAAGGACTGAGGCTCCTCCAGCAACCCACCCCTCCCCCACCACCCAAATCTCTCACCACCTTCAAGTTTCCAGAGCATCTTCAGTAGCAGTTACCAAGCCCCCAACCTTCCTGCCATCTACCACCACAACCTCAAAGACCTCAACTCCGGGGGTGCTTCGTAGGCTCCAGACGGCCAGCTACAACTACCACAGCAGGCTTCACAGGCAGAGGTAAGAGGCCTCCACCATCCAGGATGGGCTAGAGGTCAGGCAAAGTAGTCTAGAGTTAGGAGATCCATTGAAATCTTCCTGCAGTGTCCACCAACAGAGACCCTTCTTGTGTCTAGGCTACCTATGAGTGTAGCGCATTAACTTATTAGTCCAATAACAAGAACGCACTTGTCAATGCCCCAGCAGGACGCCCTGTAGAAATGAGACCCAAATCTTTTAGTCATTCAGCGTTCATTCAAATCTATTTTGATGGGGAACTAAATAAGAATAAAATTAACAATAAAACTGCTAACTACTAAATTCAGCTTCACTGCTTTACTTTTTCAGTGTGGCTTCTAGAATATTTAAAATTACATACGTGACCACATTGTATTTCTATAGGACAGCGCGGGTCTAAAGCCCGGGGAGCAGATAGGAAAGTGCGACAATGGACCACTAGGGGGCAGCATTAGAGCAGACGCCAAAGAAAACCTATAATAATTGGAATTATTTTGCCTAACCAAAGACAAACATGTTAGTGAGAAAAGGGACCTCGAGCATCATTTGGGCTTTACAGATGAGGCAACTGAAGTCATGAGAACGTTGTGGTTTCAAATAGAACCAGTAAACTACACCAGCCTACCAGTGGAGAATTGAAGTCAATTCAACCAACATTCTCTTACTTTCTACCATGTGTTGGGCATTGAAAATGTAAGAAAGATGAAAACATGCAATATCCAGGTCTTATCTTACTAACTAATGCAAGTCTGACTGTGAAAGGGGTTGTAACCAGTATAAACACAAGAATTGAGGACAGACAGAAAAAGTTGACTCTAGTTTGCCATGACTGGAGAAGAAAAGAGAACTTATGTGCTGACCCTTCAAGGAAAGTAAGGTTTCAATTTGTAGAGGAAACGGAGGAAAGATCTTATAAGCAAGAGGGAGCATTATGAGAACAGTGTTTCTTCCACTTACAAGAAATTTAACTCGTTTAGCATTTGCAATAATCTTGTGAGGAAACAGAGGTGCAAAAGCTTAGAAGGGAACTGACATTTACTAACTGCTGCTTAGACCAGGTGTTCTAACTTCTTTATATGTACAATTTTGTTTCAGCCTTAAACACTTCTGTGAAATAGGCTTGACTGTACCCATTTCCCAGGAAATGGGAGGCTCAGAGAGGTTGGGAGACTGGTTCAAGATCACACAGCCAGTGGAAAGCTGAACCTGAATTTGAATCCAAATTTCTTGACTCCATAGACAAGACTCTTTGGGGCAGATGGCGGGGCAGGGGGGGGGGTGTGTTAAAAAAAAGGGACAAACCTGTGAGACATCTCCCCAAAAGTTGGCTACTGAGGAGCACTGCCTTAAACCTCTCTCCCTCCCAGACTCCCAGACCTCTACTGTCTCTCTCCCTCTCCTTCCTTCCTCAGAGCCTTCCACCAAGGCCCGGTGTCTGGGATGGAAGACCAAGGATTTCACATCCTGGTGCCCACCGCCCTGAGCCTCATCCTGCTGGCGCTTGTTGGACTGTTGGTGAAAAGGGCCATTCAAAGGAGGAAAGGTGAGCGGCTCGGGGCTCGGTTAGGGCGAGGTGAGCTTCCCGAAGGGCCTTGAGCTTCAGCTGGAACCCCACCCCCCACGCACCCCCTTCCCCCCCCCCCCCCCCCCAGCCTGGAAACGCAGGAGCTTTAGTTGAGCAGCCAGGGGCGTGAGGAATGTGGGATGAGGGGTCAATGTCTGGAAATGAGAACGAGGAGGGTGGCCTGGGCCCTTTGGTCTTCAGTGGGGGATAAGGCTGTGCCCAAGCACTCAGAGCATCTCCGCGTCAGACACGGCCAAGCACCGCGGAGAGAGACCGCCTTTAGTTTCCTCAGACCCGAGGGCCGGGAGGGGTGGCCACGGGCCTCTGACGCCTTTCTCCTCTTTCCCCGCGGCTCTGCCGGGCAGCCGTCTCCAGGCGGGTCCGCCGAGTGGCGGTGAGGATGCGCGCCCTAGAGGCGTCCCAGCGGCCCCCGCAGCAGCGGCGCCGCGCGTCGCAGCCGCCACGCTCCCAGAACATCTACAGCGCCTGCCCGCGGCGTGCTCGGGCGGCGGACGCTGCAGGTGAGCCGGCGGCTGGGCGAGCTGGGGACGGCGACCGCCGGGTGGGGCAGGTGCCGGGCAGAGCGGGACCCGCGGGCGCGGTGCAGCGGCGGAAACCGCCCAGATGCCGAGTTTGCGCCCCGAGCGCCGCGCCTCCGGGAACGCCCCAAACCCGGGGTTTCCGGCGGGCCTGGGGGCGGGGCGGGGCGGGGGCGGGGCGGGGGCGGGCCGGACCCGCGGCCACGCCCTCACCTCTGTCTCCCCGGGTCTTTAGGTGAGCGGGAGGCTCCTCTCGCAGGCCCTGGAGCGTCAGCACCCCCGGCCGCGCAGCAGGTAAGCTCCGCCCCCCACCCCTGATTGGCAGCCGCTGCCCTGAGAGGGGCCCCAGACCCGGGTCTGGCCCGGGGAGGAGGAGGGGGGCGGTTCCTCGAGCTGCCTGTTAGCTGAAGGGCGTGGCTTTCCCAGCAGCTCCTGGGCCCCCAGTCTGGGAAGACTTTCGTCCTTTGGTGGTGTGAGTAGACTGACTGCCCAACAACGGTCGTGGACTTCATTACCTGGCTTATCTAGCCAAGCATGACCGTGGGAGTATAAATGGATGCTTAGTAGAGGCGACAGATGGCAACTCCTGCAGAGGAGGGTTTTGGTGTGGAAGTGCTCCGATTTCCAGGAGGTCTTAAGGGAGTGGGATCTACCCAGTTTTTCCTTAATATGAGGGAGAGCTTTCCAGTAAACTCTCTAGGATGAGAGAACGTAGTTTGCCCATCACTGGAGGCAGGAAGCCTGGCCTCGAGGATGACTTGGCAGATGTCAAGACGTACATAGGGTTCAACCCTTGGGTGAGGAGGATTCCTGTGGAAATCTAGGAAGGGACGTAGGGAACTGCTGTTTTCTATTGATGGCCATTGGCAGATGGGTAAAAGGTGTTTAAACTGTCTATTCATCTTTGTTTATCTAAATTAAGAAGAGAAAGTATTTTCTTCTCTGGAGTAGCCCTTAGTAGTCAAAAATACTACTGCCTCAGGAACCAGGAAAAAAATAAGTGTGGCAAATGTTCCTGTTTTAATTAGGGTGTAGACCAAGCCAATGCAACAGGCCCTAACCCACAGGGCTCACAAGATGGAAGGCTATTTTCCTCCCAAGTTAAGGCAGGGGCCAGGAAGAGGTGGCCAGAGCCACCGGGTCATCCAGGGACTCCAACATCTTCTGTCTTGTTGCTCTGCCATCCTCTGGAGTCTTGGCTGGTCCGTAGTCAATGCTCAATCACCAGCATTATGTCTACATCCCAGCCCATAGGAGGCAGAACTAGAAAGGTGCTTCCCTAAGACCATGACCCTGAGGTTTCACACATCACTTCCAGTCATATCCCATTGGGCATAACTTAGTCATGTAGCCACACCTGTCTTCAAGGGAGACCGAGGAATAGAGTCCCTAATTGAGCAATTGTGTGCTTTGCTAAGAAGGGACAGTGATACCCAGCAACAAGCAACTGCTCTGCCACAGTTACCTCTAGCTTCTTGCCCTTGCCCTTGCCCTTACCCACTCCTAGAGAAGGTTCACAGTAGTTTAGGTATGATCCAGCAGCACCCATCTTCCCTTACATTAGCCCTTTTTCTTGAACTTCCCTGTGGCCACACACACCCTCACCTGGGCCTGTATTTTGCTCAAATCGTATCCTTCCTCCCTGCTTGGGACTCTCAGTCCCACTCTTAGGGACAAAATCTTGACCAAACAAGTCCACAATGAGGTGTGTAGGGTTAATGGCTCAATATTTCAGCTTTCAGAAGAAGTATCTTAATTTTTCAAGCAGAGTAAATTAATCTCGAACGGTAAACTGTAACACGCCTCCTAATTTTTGAAGCACACTGCAGCTCATTGCCTCTCTGGTAAAGTACGCAAAGTTATAGTTCCTTCCCATTAGAACTTCCTGGGCGCCTCCTATGTTCATGGGGCCGGACTCCTGGTTCTAGGACTTGTATTGCAATAGGTGACTCCCCCTACTGAAGCCTTCGTGGGTGGATGCTACAATAATGGCACAGTGCGGGGTCATGGCACAACCCTGTCCTCCCAAGAACTGACCCATCCTGAAGGCAGAGGATCCTGAGGTTTCTGTCTGGGGAAGAGGAGCAGCACTGTGCCCAGGTGGCACGCTTCCTTCTTCCTCTTCAGTACCCAGCCCTTTCCTGGAATGCACTGTTAGGCCACATCACGGCTCCTCCGAGTCCTTACGGAGCTGCAGGGGATGACTCACCCTACTCTTAAATAACTCCCTAAGAAGATGCATATTTATTCCACAAGTCACACCGTCTAATCCTAGAAGGGAAACTCCTCTGGCAGCTGAGTCTCCTTCAGCCCCAGGCTTAACCGTGTGATTTTAGCCTGAGCCCCATTTAAGGCGTTTCTTGCCCATGTCAGAGCTAAGTGTTTTCCAGTTACCTGAGGTGAGACGCCACCCTGAAACTCCCCAAGGTTAAGCCACTTGGCGAAGCTCAGCCACTTCTGTGTCTTTGTCTTTGAGAAATCAGCAACCATGTACATACTCCGCCCGCCCCCCCCCATTGCCCACTGTGGAAATCTGTCTGGAGAGATACCAAAATCACCCTACCCAGATTCAGTGATGCTTCTTTGGTTGTTCCCAGGTAATGGAAACTCTCTGGCTCCATGCCCCATCTCTGAAGACCAGCTGTGAATATGTGAGCCTCTACTACAAGCCTGTTGCCAAAGCAGAGGACACTGATTCAGATGACTATGTCAATATTCCCTGCCTGACTCACCTGTCCCACTGTCCCCCTGGGCCCAGACCTTGGTGCCAATGAGTCTTGTCTATCTGCTGGTTTCCAATACCTCCTCTGTTTTTGGAGCCCTTATTACCTCCCACACTAATCTTAAGTCTTGTTCCTGTCTCTCCTGAACATAGCTCTGTACCCCCTCCTGTTTCTTCTTGCACACCTCTACAGCCCTCTGTGGTTTTCAGGTGGGCTCTGGGCAGGCAGAGTATTTGTCCCTGTGCTACCTGCTTCCCTTCCAAGCCAATGGGATTTGCAGAGTGTCTTTGATCACAGGGTCTTTGCTGCCCTGGGTCTAGACACATGGCATCAGACTGGAGGATAGACATAAGTGTTGCTTCGGGGGACTTTCTCAGTCTTGGGCCTCATACCAGTCAAAGGCCCCCAGACCGCCTCATGAGGGCATGCCTCAGGCCTGTGAGCTAGGAAGGGGCCTGGTATGAAATGCCCCTGGCAACATCTTTGCCCTGATCGTAGGGCTGGCTCTTACTAGTGAGCTTCTATTCATCTTGAGTCCTATGATAAGGACATTTCATTTTGAGATGACAATAAAGGGTTATAAATTTTCAGAACCATGCTTGTTAGTGTTAGTGACCATCCATTTATCCATCTATCTATCTATCCATCCATCCATCCATCCACCCACCCATCCATCCATCCATCTACCTACCTACCTACCTACCTACCTATCTATCCTCTTTACTGTCTCCCTCCTTTGATGCCCATAAGTACCCTGATCAGTGTCTTTCCTCTTTTGAAAATAGGATAGTTTGTGTCATCACCTCCTTATCTTTCTTCCATGGCCTAGCACTGATATTTGTGCACTTTCTTTAGTGCCGGGCTAGTTTGGCCATCCCAAACCATTACATCTCTCTGCTTTCAGAAACGCACCTCATTTCTTTGCCAGGTAGCTTATAGCAAGGTGGGTCAGGAGAGTGGATTCTTAAGGGGCCAGGCGCTGTGTAATAGCACTTAATGTCGTGAAAGAAGACATATCTCCCCTCCTATGTATACTTTCTCCTAAGTTTTTCTGGCAAGGGCGTAGGCAGACATTGTATCTTTGGATTAAAGTCCACTACAAAGTTCAGCTAGAGTTTGAGGCTAGAGAACACACAGTCTTGCTATTAAGAAGAGCTTTCCTGGATGCATAACACAGCCTCACTGGGCACTTGCCCACAGTTAGAAAGAAAAGGCTGCTAGAATTGAGTTCCCTGCTTTTTAATCAACAGGGAGTGTCATCAAAGATTGGGCAGTATATTCAGGTGTGATGACGCCATCAGCATCTAAGCAAGGTCCGCTTGATAATGGCACCCTCTCAAGCGGTGGATAAGAATGAGTAGGATATGGAAGGAGGGTCCCCAAAGAGAAGGGATGGGTGGGGGTGAAATTGGGAGAACTGAAATGTTTAGGGAGAGCCTGCTTTGTGCCGGGCACTTAGCCTGCCTTATATCTTTCATCATTGACATTTCAAACTGGTGCTCCTCACCACTCCCCAGTGCTGTGTTCCCGCACATTTCATGACAATATGATTTCCAGGGTATCTGGGTGGCTCAGCGGTTAAACCTGCAATTTCAGCTCAGGTCATGATCTCAAAGTTTGTGTGCTTGAACCCTGCTGTATCAGCACAGAGCCCCTGCGAATCCTCTGTCTCCCTCTCTGCCCCTCTCTCTCCCCCATGTGCGTGCGCACACACACACACACACACACACACACACACACACTCTCTCTGTCTCTCTTTCTCAAAAATAAAGAAACATTTAAAAAAATATATGATTTCCATGCCCTGAAGTTCAACTTTATATCCCAGCTCCCCTCATTGCTCCTCAACAATTCAAAGACAGACAAAATATCCAGTTTATTAAGCATTTACCGAGCACTCATCTACTGCTCCACAGTGTCAAGGATCGTGGGGGATAAAAAAGAAGCATGGGACACAGTCCCTGCTGCCTACACAGAACTGACAGTCTGACAAATAAATATGGCATCAGTTAAAACACTGACTGGAATTAAACAGAGTTGTAATAAATATAGGAGTCTACTTTGTAGATTACTCAGAGCATCCAAGGGAACCTTCCATGGCTATCTTTGGGGCCACTTAAAGAATGAAGTATTTGAAGATAAGCCCGGCCAAGAATGCAACCCGTCATCAAGGGTATGATGTGCCCAGAGAATATTATCACATGAAGGGACATGGAACATTTGAAATGACATGGAGAACAAGGCGCCTTCCTGGTCTCGGCATTCAGAGCTGGTAGAATTTTTCCATCCAGGTCAAGAGAATGTCCACTTCTCCAAAGGCTTTGGTCTGGGCCGCTTCTATGTCCAACTAAAGAGAAAGGACATTTGAAGATCTACCATATTAGCCACAAGAATAAATTTCTTTCCCACACACCACTCCTGGAGCTGGCCTGACCCCAAGTCATGGGCTGTATCACCTTTGGGATAGCCTCTGCTGAGCTCACTTCCTGCCCCGTCATTTGTTCCTTGGCAGGGGTGGGGTGGGGGAGGCAGTGAGTACCAACGGACCAGTGCGTAGCAATGGGTAAGGAACGAGGGAGAAACACTGGAGTTCCTGATAATAAGAACTCTAGAACCCCAGTGCAGGGCGGATCTCGATACCCTCCTGAGTCTAACTGCAGATGAAGAAACTGAGGCCCTGGTGGCCCCTTTCCTCTGTATGTTATTCCTCTTCACCATTTATTTTTAGGCTGATATATCTGTTCCTCAAAAAAGTGATCAAAATCATATTTTGGGAGCAGGGGTCTGGGGATGAAATTTGGATTTTCTTTGTAGTCTTTATTTGGGAGACAGGAATAGATGTTCCCATGCCTTTTTTTTTTTTTTTTTTCCCTCACAAACTAGACCTTTTGAGCATTATGGAAAATACTGGAGATTGGAAGTCTGTGTTTGGGGGGGTAGGAGGCCTCCTTCCGACTCCAATTGCCTAGCTCAGGTATTCATAAAACGCACAGGGAGAGTCCTTGATAATGAAATCATCTTGTAGGGTGACAGAAAAGCATGTTAACGCGACAAGTGGCACAAACATGGACCAGGTAGCTTGTGGAGCTTGGGCAAAGTACGTGGTAACTAATGCAAATACGCCTGTGCTTGTGCTAAATTAGGTTGATTTCGGGCGCGGCGGGTGGAGACACCTGCAGTGAATTCCGCATTAGGCCTCTGAGGCACCCTCGTGTGACGGTTCGGTCTAGTCTACTCGTGGATAGGCAGGCTCTCAGATTCTGGCGTCGATTACCTGTTTAAATGCTCTCTGGAACAGCAGAAACCGCCTGCGTGCACTGTCACTGACAGAAAACATCTCATTTTCCTGCTAGATAATAGAAAACAAATTGTGTCAAGTTCAAGTGTGGGATAGCCGCAGAGGCAAGCCCCTCCCACTCCTTCCCAGTGATGCCAGAGGGGTTCCCAAGGCAGGCCCTGAGTCCCACATTCTCAGGGTAGCCACTGCCGAACTCCCACCCGTGGTGGGGGCTGACTCCTCTCTTTTTCACAGCCACCTTGCCATGTAGGGGTGATCATCTACATTTTATAGGTAAGAAAAGTGAAACTCAGAGAGGTTGACTTCTTTGCAAAGAGTCATCCAGCTGGTTAGAAGCAGATCTGAACTGGAACCCAGAACTAGTAGTATCCGGAACCTGCACCCTTTTCCACCACAGCACTCAATCCCTGTTATGGAATAAACAGGACTAGGTGCGGGGAGGGAGGGGCGCCTGGGTGGCTCAATCAGATAAGTGTCTGCCTTTGGCTCAGGCCGTGATCTCACGGCTCTGTGAGTTTGAGCCCCGCGTCAGGCTCTGTGCTGACAGCTCAGAGCCTGGATCCTGCTTCGGATTCTGTGTCTTCTTCTCTGTCTGCTTCTCCCCTGCTCTCTCTCTCTCTCTCTCTCTCTCTCTCTCTCAAAAATAAATAAACATTTAAAAATTAAAAAAAAAAAAAGATGAGGGGAGGGAGGGCATCTTTTCAAAATACACCATTTCCTCTGGGCACCGGGTCCCAGCTTTGTTCTACTCACACTGGGCTGTAGTTTTGACACGATGACAACGAAGTTGTTGGCCAGAGTGGAGAATGACTTCCGGACCCTGAAGTCAGCTGCCTTATCCTGGTAGTTTTTGAAAACGGTATTCAAGTAGAACTTCAGCAGGGCACGGATAAGGTAACAGCTCTCGGCGTTCTGGGGAGGGTCTCAGTCACTAAGAGCCCTCTGCACACACCCCGCCCCACCCCGGGCCCTGGATGCATGACCCACGTGCCACATGAGGCAAGGTAAGCACAGAGAGAAAGAGATCTTCTAGGAGATGTTAGTAAACATTAGATCTGAAGGAGTCTTCAGGGGCATGCAGAGTGGTGCCTTTGATTTACAGCAGGAACCACAGACCCAGACCTAGGTCCCAGGACCGCTGACTCCCCATCTGGTTAATATTCTTTCCTCTACACCACATGGCCTCTCTAATGCTGTACGGGGGAGTGATGGACCCTGAAAGACACGTGGTGGTTCAGTGTTGAGAGTCCAGGGAAAGGACTGGAAAGAGAAGTGAGAAAACAAAACTGACACCCTGTGACACAGGAATTGCACTCCAGCCCCGGTGAGCTCCAGAGTGGAGCTCAACACCTCGCAGGGATCAGGACTCAGTACATGTGCTCACTGACCCCCCAGTCGGGTGAGGGGAAGAAAGTGGGGGAGAAGGATGGGAACCAAAGAGACCTAAGTGGACGCCCAGGCAGAAGAGAAGTTTCTGTCAGCCTCCCCTAGACCACCCCTCACCACTACCTATAGAAGACAAGTCATGAGACAGAGGCATCGTCTTTCTCCAGCGTCTGATTACCGAGACGTTCTGCAGAACCTCCTTCCGTAGTAGCCGGACATTCGTGATGTTATCCTTAGCTTGCTTTGGGAATAGAAAGAAAAGATGTGTCCAGCGTCGGGGGCAGCACAGAAACCAACCTTGAGAATGCACGCTGACCCCCCCAAATCTATCCAGTCTGAAATCTCAGAGGCCCGAAGGACCACGGGAGGACCGAAGAAGGGCTGTGCTGAGTTGGCCCTGGGGTGAGGGTACAAATTTCTAGCCACAAAAATCACTATGCTTAATCCCCAGGGGCGGATGGAATCCCAGGAGCTCTCACAGCCCAGGAACCTGTTGGATTCCTTTGGTCAGGAAGAAATAAGCCTCTTTGGTTTATGAATGACTTAGGGGCAGGGTTTTGCTTCCATATTCCATAGGGGTTGGCATGGGTGGGGGCTGCACCTTCGAGCTGCCTCTTGCCCTTGGAGCTTCCTCTGAAGCCCCGCCTCCCGCTCCAGATCTTGGATTATAGTCAAATCATCCTTGCGAGAAAGGAGTTTTAGAGCTCATCTTCCCGCCTCCTCAATGTGCAAACAAGGAACCTGATGGGGGAGGGGCACTGTGCCCAGTTTCAAGGTAAAGATCACACCTAGGTGTTCTGTCCCCAGTCCTCACTCTCCCCTCCCCCAGGCTGCCTCATCGAGCTCCCTCTTTCTACCTGGAATCCAAATCATTGTTTAAGGAGCACATTTGCCAGTGTGAGTACTGGGTCACTTTTGGGACTTGGTGAAATTCACAGTCACATTTCACAAGCCACCCCCTCCCGTCTCAGCATTTGCCATTCTTTCTACCTTTAGCCAAAGCCTTGGCAGGTGGGAACAGACTAGCCTGGCAGATAAAAACTTCAGTGGGTCTCAAAGAATTTCCCACGACTGCTGGTTGGTGAAGTCCCCTGTCCCCCTGGGCCGTAGATGACGCCCAGATGAATCTGGCTCCCTTCTCTATCCCCCTTGGGCTGTGTTTATTTTCCTAGACATTGACCACATCTTTCTGAGCCTCTGTTTCCTTATGTGCAAGAGCGAATGTGGGCTTGAAGTGAGTTACAAAGGGCTCCATAGTCATAAGATATCGTCCGGCGCTCACGGCAACCCCTGTGGCTGGGTCCAGAACAACACTTCACTCACCACAATGTCCTTCATGGCCCAGAAGGCCTCCCACAGTTCCTGGAGGACGACTCCCTCCACCCGGCAGGGTCCGAATTGGAACTCTTGGCCCTGGATGCCTGGCCCCTGGCTCCAAAGATGTAGGATCAGACTCAGGCAGAGGAGGGAAGTCCTCAGCCCTGGAAAGCCCATCTGCAGTGAAGCAGGGACCAGGTGTGGATCCTGCTGGAAGAAAGGGAGGCATCCCACTGAGGAAGGACTTCTGCCCAGCAGCGGCATTCCCAGAGTAATGCCCCTTGGCTCTACCTTGGCCAGCTTCGGGGACACACAGATGTCACAGATGTGAAATCTGAGACCAGGGTAAGTTCCTAGTGTTAGAATATTCTAAACATGTGGCCTTGCTGTGCGCTGGGGTGGGGCGAGGGTCTTTCTGTCCCTCCATCTCGTACCCTCTGGTCTCTCTCTCTCTGCCCTCCCCCACCATGCCCACCCATGTCACACACACACCCAGCACCTCCTTCCTCACCCCATGACAGTTCTCTCCAGCCAACAACCAGCCCGTCAGAATTTGACCAAGTGGTGGTGGCATTTAATGTGCCAAAGAACGTGTGAGCCTGAACTCTGAAGGAAAGGGACCTTAACTAGGCATTGGTTTGTCTGAGCTCTGCCCAAAGTCACGAGGCACACTTGGGCGGGTCTTTACTCCTCCTCCAGGAGAAGGTCATCCTTGCTCCCCATGATGGGGGGAGTCCAGGGATTGACCCTGGCCTGTAGAAAGGGGCACAGACAGCAGGTTAGGGGCACACGTTCACTCTGCCACCTCGAATGTGCGACTCAGCCCTGACTCTAAGAATTAATTTTTCAGGTAACTGAATGAGAGGGAGGAATCAGATCTCCAGGTGAATCACCGTTAAAACCTCCCACTGAAGCTCCATTTGGGATGACTGTGTAGAGGCCCCAAGCTAGACGATGGTGACCCATTATCTGTTTATCATAACCGAACGCATGGAGTTTCTTCTCCCTGCTTCCTTTGCCTTTTGCTTTTCTTCCTTCCTTCTTTCTTCCCCACTTTTTCCCTCCCTCCCTCCCTCCCTCCCTCCCTTCCTTCCTTCTTTTCTTTTCTTTTCTTTTCTTTTTTTTCTTTCTTTTCTTTTCCTTTCTTTTCTTTCTTTCTTTCTTTCTTTCTTTCTTTCTTTCTTTCTTTCTTTCTTTCTCACTTCCTTCCACAAACATTTAAGAACCTATCTTACTCCAGGCACTGGTCTCACACCTGAAGCCACTCAGTTCTAGCCCTAGACTGCGCAGGAAGGTGAGAGCCGACCTGTGTCTGGAATGACGACTAACACGTGCCGAGGACGAATGCCCGATATCCTCCGCCATGCAGGTCGGTGCCTCAGTGTCTCCCTCAAAGTCTGTTCCTTCAAACACCGCAGGTTTTGCAGCCTCTCTTGACAGTTCATCTGTGGACCTCACAATCCTCCCGGCCTTCCTTCCATCCAGCCCAGATCCTTCTTGGTGTTAAAGCAGGAGAACGCAGCTCCTCACCATCCCCCAGGACCCATTCCCAGTGAGGCAGTGGTCTAATGCTTAGAAGCGAAGTACTCAGGAACCACCCCCACCCCCCCATCACTCACCCCAGGTCCTGGAAGTTTGAGGGTTTGCTGTTTGGGGGTGGCTGGCTCCTGTTATGGAGGGGCAAGCTGGACAGGCACCCTCACCGTTCACCGACCGGGGTGTAACTGTGGGTGGAAGGTTCTTCTCCCAGCCCCGAAAGCCGTTTCAAAAGTAAAGATGTGCAGGCTAGCAAGGCTTGGTGGAGATCATATATATGGGGGCTGGGGGGAGGGGCAGAGGAAAAAGGGGAGGTGGAGAAAGGGAAATTGGTCATGCTCTCCTAGAGAATTACTTCACCGCCTACTCACCTTTCATTTGAAGACAATGGGGAGGTGGGGAAAAACAGCCCCTGAGGTGAGATGAGACCTCGGGCTGAGTTCTGGCTGTGCCACCAGCTCTGTGACCAGGGGCAAGTCTCCCAACTACCCTGAACCTCAGTTTCTGCATCTATAAAATTAAAACACACAAACAAAAACCTGTCCCCTCTCCTAGAGGGCAGGTGCAAGGAGGAAACGGAAAATGACAGGATGCTTTGTAAATTCCATACACATGTAAATACGTTATTGCTACGCAGAGTACCCCAGTCTCCTTACTCCAAACTCTTTCGGGAATTATGCCCTATTAATGATGAGATAGTAACCTAGAGACTCAGGATAGCTCAGGGCCAGGAATCTCAGAGTGTTTCCTGACATGTGGCCACTGATGGTCCCTTCTCCGGTGCAGGAAGAATAAGGAAGTGTGTGCACGGCCAGGTCTGGAAAGCTGAGGGGCCCTGGTGTCCTGGTGGGTTAGCGTCGGCCTGTGCTGCTTGGCCGGGGATCACCCAGGGCATGTGACAGTGTGGGATGTCCGGAACACCAGCACAGTCAAGAAACCCAACCTTATGTCCAGCTAGCAAGGCGTTCAGACATCAGTTAGTCCGTGTTTAAGTGATGGGTAGCCTGGAGCGGTGTTCCCAAAGCATGTTGCACCGAATCTGGTCCTGAGGGACAAGAGACTTCATAGTGAGTAAGTTAGAGAAGGCAGGCACTTGCCAGCCCCTCTCAGAAACGTGGCTCGCTCCTGAGAGTAGTGGACACTGAGAGCTCCCGTGAGGGCTGGGAGGGGTGGGGGCAGGCAGGGACCCGCGCTGAACTTTGTTTTATGCAGCAGTTCCCATGGGTATTTGACCATGTCCTTGGGACACGTTGTAGGCAACACTGGACCCTGCATCAGGGAATGACAAACTGCAGACAAAGAATGAGCCTAGAACAGCTTACCTGTGACCTAAGAACGGTTTTTACATTTTTTAATGATTGAAAAAAAAACACTGAGCAATGAAAAGAATGTGAAATTCAAATTTCAGTGTCCATGAATAACGAAGTTTTGTTGGGACACGGCCACACCTAATTTGCTTACATATTTTCTATGGCTGCTTTCGTGCTCAGTGACAGAGACCAATAGTTGTGGCTGAGATCCTATGGCCCACAAAGCCCAACATATTTACGCTCTCGCCCTTTGCAGAGAGAGGCTGCCGAGCCCTGCTCTAAATTGCCTTCCCACACAAACCGCTTTATCTGTTTTTTTTTTCTTTTCAAATTTTTATTTAAATTAGTTCACATACAGTGCAAAATTGGTTTCAGGAGTAACTTGAGTTCAGAATTTAGTGATTCATCGCTTACATACAACACCCGGCTGCACAAACAGCTTTAAACCCGGGTTCAGGCAAGAGACATGGGCATAGGATGTGACATGAGGGGCGGGAAAATTTTCCACAGCTCAGTGGAGAAGGAAGAAGAGGGAGCCCTGGGGGACTTGGCCCTTCCCCATCTCTCCAGTTGGCAGACCCTTCCCGATCTCTCCGGCACCGGCACCCCTTCCCTTCATCACACGTGCAACGGTGTTTATTTCCTTAAGCAGACAAAATCCTTTCTGCAATCCCTGGTCTGCTGCTGCTGCCTGTAGGAGGACCAAGCTTGAGTCCTTCCCTCCTGGAAGACCTACATCTTGCCCTCTGGTCCTGGGCAGGAGCCCGCACCACGCCCTTTCCTCCCCTTCCAGGATCCAGAGCATTACTAAAAATTCCTCCCTACTATGGTAAGAAGATGCCCAGGGGCGTTCAAGAGACAGCAAAGAGCACAAAGTTAAAGTGCAGCAATGGTAGACAAGGGGGGGAGACAGGAGAGGACTGGAGAGACAGACAGCTGAGCAGGAAGCGGAGAGAGAAAGCGAGCCCCGGGGCTCACTAGACAGCGCTAGCCGACTGTCTGCTGAGAGGCAGGGGGGCAGGAGGGATGAGCTGTTAGCAGGGCAGGCTAGAACAGAGGTGTGAGGTCATGGAATATACCGCGCTAGGTTCCAGGATATCCACCTGGGGTCATGAGTAGCTAATTCTGTCTAAGGAAGGAATCGTGTAATATGGACATTCCAGGCAAACACGTGCCAGAGCTTAACATAGCGCGATTACCTGGGCAGAGAGGACAAAGAGAGAACTCAGGGACCTTGGCCCAATGTCAACTCAGGTTGCTGGTTATAAGCACAAGCTTTGCACATGGACACACTCGGGTTCAAAACATGATTGAGTCGCCTCCGAGCTGTCTGTGTTTCAGTTTCCTCGTCTATAAAGTCAAGTCCTATCTAGGGCCACAAAGACACAATGACGTACAGCCTGTTAAGTGTGGTCTGTGGACCAACAGCAACAGCGGTATCTGGAAGCTCATTAGAAATGCAAAATATTGGGTGCCTGGGTGGCTCAGTGGGTTAAGAATCTGACTCTTAATTTTGGCTCAGGTCATGATCTGAGTCGTGGGATCAAGCCCCCTGTCAGGCTCCACGCTGATAGGTTGGACCCTGCTTGGGATTCTCTCTCTCCCTCTCTCTCTGCCCTTCCCCTGCTCATGCTCTCTCTCTCTCTCCCCACTAAAAAAAAAAAAAAAAAAAAAGAAAAGAAAGAAAGAAATGCAGAATCTCAAACCCTTCCCCCAGACTACTGAACCAAAATGTGCATTTTAAGAAACTCCGAGGTGATTCTTAAATATATTAAAATAGATTAAAATAAATATATACTTCCATGTAGTAAATGCATAACAAACAAGGGTTTTCAAGTGAAAGCAGAAGGATTAGAGCAGTGATTCTCAATGGTACAATTTTGTCCCTAGGGGACATTTGACAATGTCTGGAGACATTTTTAGGGTGTCCTAACTAGGAAGTATGGGATGTGGCGGTGCTACAGACATGGAGTAGAATGGGCCAGGGATGCTGCTGAACATCCTACGGCCCCTCACCATAAAGAATTATGTGGCCCCAAATGCCAACAATGCTGAGGCTAAGAAATCTGGATCAGAGGAAAGTAGTGGCTGTGTGGGAAACAGCTGAAATAACACCAAAGAAGGATAAGAAGGGAGCCCTTACTGGAGCAGGGGGAGTGGAGAGATAACATGGTCAGGGATGTGGAGAAAGCAAGATGGCGACTTGGATGGCAGAGCCCCAAGGCTCCTGGGAGGGAGCAGATGGGCAAGGGCTGGCCCACTGGCTCACCCCTGGGGAAGCTCCAAGTGTCAGACTTCAAAAGGTTGGAGAAAGTGGGACTGGTCCTTTGA